AAACAACACATACGTAAAGATTGGCATTGCTTGCTAAGATTTAATTTTTATGGGACTGTTTTCCAGAGTCCGCTGATTTCTACTGAGGTGGTTGCACTAACACATAAGTACCGAATTTGTTTATAGCTAATAGTTCCATTATTTCAATAAATATAGAAATATGTACATTTATTCTGATTACTTTTGGTTTGTTATTTTTAATTACTTAAAATGTTTTTTAATCTCTTATTTTATTTAAATATTTTTTTATTTTAATGGGTTAAAAATGCCATTTATACACACACAACATAAGTACCAAATTTGATTATAGCTAAAGTTCCAAATTTTCAATAAATGTCTTATAAATTTGGTTTTTTTTTAATTACTTAAAATTACTTTTAATTAATATTTAAAATATTTTTTAGTTTAATGGGAAAAAGGCATGTTATTCTTAAAATGCCATTTATAGCTTTTTTAATTTTATTTTAAATACAGTAGTTTATCAGTTCATAAGTGTTTTATATCTTGTTTTGTAGATTACTGCTCTAAATTTAGCAACTTGTAAATCCTTAAAGTACTACTATTTTATTTTTTAATTCATTTTAATTATCAGCTGTACGAAATGATCTTAGTTCGACATGGTTTAATGATAGTTGGTGATCCTATGGGTGGTAAAACATGTGCATATCAAGTATTAGCAGCAAGTTTAACTGATATTCACCAGCTTGGTCCTGAATGTGGAATAGAGGAAAATAAAGTGCATTATCGAATTATAAATCCTAAAGCAATAACAATGGGTCAGTTATATGGATGTTTTGATCCAGCATCTCATGAATGGACTGATGGTGAGTTATGATTCTCTCATGTTAGGTTTTTAATGCATATCTTCTGCCATTTGTCTCATGTAATATTCTAATCGCAGATATATTTTCATTAATATTATTTCAATAAATTAGTTTTTCTGATTTGTTTATTCACTTCTTAAATTTCATACTGTATTTCCTCTTTCAGCTATGTATGTTTAAGATAACTGTAATCTCATCTCTAATAAATAATGGCTATATCTGGATATGGCTATATGTAGATATCTCCAATATCTATCAATCATAATATTTGGGCTACCTAACAGCTGATAATAAATAATCAACGCAAGATGTAGTAAAAAAAATCAATAAAATTTTCCATAAAATGTCCCCCCCCTTTTTTTGTTTGTTTTGTTTCCGCAAAATATTTCATTAATTGGGCTAAAATAAGTGTTATTAATCTGTATCCCTTCATGATTCTCAGGCATCATGTTGAATGGGATGATGTAATTGTGTCAAACTGTATATTTTTGCATTAAATTAATTTTCACTAAATGACTTATTGTCTCATTGAATACAATTTTTCTTTTAACATTAATAATGTCATTCATTGTGCTTAAGAACTTACTGAAAATTCTGATCTTTTTAACCTTGTTTCAAATTTGACATCACAAATTCTGTGACTTTTAAGCCCAGTTAAAATATTTCGTATAATCTTATGTTTCATAAATGAGTGAATATGGATTTTCAAGCTCAAATTAAACTAAAATCTATTTTTAATCATTCTATTTATAAATTATTTTTTTAAGAATTTCTGTTTCAGATAAAAAAATTCTCTAAATTACTAAATGTTATTTTATCTATGGAAACAAAATTACTAAAGTATTTTCAAAATTAAAATGTTTTTTAGTTTATTCAAATATTGAAATTTGTATCTGAGTTTATTATTTGAAGCAATGCATATTTCTTTTAGTACTTTACCTTTTCCTTTCAAAACAGGAGTTTTGGCTAATACATTTAGAGACTATGCAAGTGATCAATCTGAGGACAGAAAATGGATAATGTTTGATGGTCCTGTTGATGCAGTATGGATAGAAAATATGAATACTGTTCTGGATGACAATAAAAAGGTATGCAGTAATACTGTAAATAGTGTATGGTATTTTTAAAACTCTGCAATAATTCTAAATATTGCTTTCACAATATATAAACATGTAGATACATGAAGGGGTTTTTAATCTTTGATTGTTACGTTTTGCTGTTATTAGATTATTAAGTATGAACATTTATATTTTAAAAGATTTACCTCTCAGATGAAGCTGGTAGATTAGAAACTGTTATTACAAAATTGACTTATAAGTTTTTGTGTTGTCTTAATATATTATAGGATTAAATAATAATACTGTTTTATCAACATGTAGCAATATTTCTATTCTAATTGCTATTTGTATGCATTTATAAATATTTGCAAAGGTTTAATTGTTACATTTTTAAAACTATCCAAAAAATATTCATTTTGTATTTGAAGTACTTTACTGTTGGAGATTTTTAACATTTTGTTTGGCAATTTTTTTTTTAATATTATTAGCAAGTTCATAGCACAGGCATAGTTTTTATAATGCACAGGCATAGTATATCATCTCTATAAAAAAAAAAACTCTGTATGACATGAAATGGAACTGTTTTTCAAAATGCATGCATTCAGTCTTCTGGGTGTTTTATTATTGACTTTATTTCTGTTATATTTAATGCAAACACATGTATGAGTCATTGATTTTATCTGAGAAAGCTTAGCACATTTCTTAAATTGCTAAAAAAGTTTTTCTTAATAATTTAGTGCTATTTTCAGGCAAATAATATTTCATTGTTTTCATTAGTACTCTAGCATACACCTGCAAATTCTTTAACTTGCTATTGTGAAGAGGGATATTATTTAAGTAAATAATGAAAGAATTTGATAAAATCTGAAGACAATTAATTTCTGAAGACTCCTTACTCTCTATTTAGTACAAAGAACTGCATTGCCAAAAGGCCTGGAATATTTTTATGTTTTGTTGATAAAAAAATGTATAGATTTTGATTTTTAATCAGAAAAAAATTGAACTCTAATAAGTATTTACTATTTATATTAATAATACACAAAATTAAATTTCATTGTTCCCATAACTGTAATGCTAGTAATAATAGAACTTTCATCATATCATTATAATTTTGAGAGCTTAAAATTATGTCATTTGCATTGCTGCATTCATCTGTTTCTATATTCATTGTTTAGCATATTGATATTGTGTAATAAAATTATATAATACTAAATACAATTCTTAATTAAGTTTGAAGTCATATTATTATAATTTAGTGTTTGCCTCAGTGTAAATTTTTACTTGAAAATATTTCAATGCATTTTGTTTATTAAAAAGCATGTTTGCATCTCACTGTAATATGACACAAACTGTTTTACTGTTTTCCCTAAATTGTACAACTAGTCCAATTTTTTTGTAATTTACTGTGCTTTGTATTTATTTATTTATTTATTTTTAATAAATTAATGTTGAATATTTACTAAGTTATTCAAGATTTTGTGTAAAGGCTGGAATTTGTGGAAAATACACTATTTAAGAATTTGTATGCTTAAAAGTTAATATGAATTTTTATATCTGGAATTTCTAAGAATACAGTCAAAAGTCTTTAATCCGGACTCGTCGGGAATCATATCAAATCATATCAGAGTACTTCGAGATGAAATACGACATTTACTAAGGAATTATAAGCCGAATAAAATAAAAACATCTGTCCTGAAGATAAGGATAGTGCTGACAGATCAACTTCCAATTCATTGCGTGGCGCGGCGTCCTCCCGCCGCAGAGCAGCGTGAAATTGATCAAAATATTTCAGAATGATTAGAGAATCAAAGGATATGCCTTTATCCATTTTTTGCAGCAATTCCACTTTTTGTTTGATGGACATCGGAACATGCTTTCGCTTTGCAGATCCTTTGGTAGCTCCAGAATCCGAAATTCTTTTTGACATAATCTAAAGTTCAAGCTTACTTTTATAAAATTGCTCTAACAGTCTGCAAAAAATTATAAACTGGATTCAGTTAGAAGATTAAGGAACAACGCAATCTGCAACATTAACGGAAATAGATAATTAGATAATTTAGCTTAGCTTATACCGTTGTTATACATTAAACGCGCATGCGTAAACGTATTATGCGCATGCATAGACGCATATGCGCATGCGCAGAAAATTCGTAGCTTTGAGGTCCGGATTATGGACGTCCGGATTAAAGATTTTTGACTGTATAATAAAATGCCAAAATGTATTTTTTCCAAAATATTTCTGTGATTTCTTTGGGAAAAATATTGCATAATAGTAAGAAAACAAAAATCGAGGCAGTTGTTTTGCTTATTTTTTAATTATCTTACTTTTTCCTTTGAATAATTTGAAAGTAGATTATATAGATAAAGGTAAAATTTAGATAAAGTATATCATTTCCAAGCATTTGTGGTTTGATATAATTATTAAATATTCATTGCTTAAAAAATGAAATGGCTTGTTTTGTATGTTTATGCATATTATCTTTTTATACCCTTAATTTTCTTCACAGATTTTAATTTTTATAAATTAGAAAAACAAGGTAACAAGCTGACTAAGCATCTACAGCAAATATCTATAGCAAACATGTATAGCATAGATGAAAGAAAGAAAAAATAAGTTTAAATTAATCCAAAAACATATCAACTAAGGTGTCTGACAATGATATTTTTTAATAATGCATGCTTTAAGCCAGCGGTTCTTAACCTATATTTTGGGTCGCGAAGCATATTTTTTGGGTCGCGCTAAGTCAAATTAAAAAAAACTTTTAATATACAAAAATAAGTAATACCAACACCTACTAGAAGAGTTTTTTTCTAATACAAGTTATTCTCTAAAATAATGCATTGGTTTTACCGCTCTTCGCGAATGGCCTTCTAGAAGTGACATCCAATTTCTGTCTTATGGCTTTCTTCTATGAGGTGTTGGTAATACTCACGCCATTGCTTTACGTGCGCGCAGACACAATAAGTTGTAGGTAACATAGTCATTCTCCGGTAGTGACACCTTTGGTAAAATTAAAAGCGCTTTCAATCAGCTACTTTTACTTCGACTTTTAAGAAACCGGGGAATTTCCGTTGGTTGTGACATGTAAGCAGATGTTATCGATTTAACTCGTGTGAATAAAGAAGTAATAACGGAAAATTGTATTCTGTTTGCATATTAATGATATTTACGTAAAAAAGTTGCACTCCGCTGCAAGTTCTTTGTCAAAAACTCGTTTCTGTGTATTATGTTGTGAATAACAGGGGAACGTGTAATAATCATGAAACGTGAATACAAGCATTTTAGAAACAATTTTTGTCTGTTTATTAAAAGTGGAGTGATCAAGCTGCAGTGCGTATTGTAAAATTGTAATCACCCTAAAATGGCAAAACGGGAATACAAGGAAGCATTTTTAGAATTAGGGTTTACTTGCATTTATGATGGAGGAATGAACAAGCCGCAATGCGTTTTGTGCAGTGAAATACTAAGTAATGAATCGATGAAACCGAACAAAATTAAAAGATATTTTGATGCAAAACATAAAAATGTTTCCTTTGAGGGAAAGATCGTACTTTTTTCGAAGAAAAGAAGCTGATTAAAAAGACAGCGTTTAGATGCACCAAGTAGTAATAGTTTTCTAATTTCTACCAAACAAGCTACACTTGCTTCTTTTATGTGGCTTGGCATATTGCAAGACAAAAGAAACCCCATAATATTGCTGAAAAACTTATAAAACCTGCTGCCATTGACATGGCACGTATCATGTGCGGAGATGAAATTTCAAAGAAATTACAAAAGGTACCATTATCAAATGATACAATTCGTTTACGAATTAATGATATATGTCGTTTGTATTAGAATCACTTTATTTCTGCTATAAAAAATTGCTGGTTTATTTAGTATTCAAACTGGATGAAACGACAGATGTAAGTAACGATGCTCAACTAATGGTTTACATGCGGTATCCAGGGTTAACAGATATATAGGAGGATTTTTTATTTTGCAAATCAATGTCAACAAAACTAGAGGTGAAGATATATTTCTCATTGTCGATTCATTTTTTAAAGAAGAAGGTTTAAATTGGAATCAGTGTTTCAGTATTTGCACCGACGGTGCAGCTGCCATGACAGCATCTCAAAAGGGTTTTTTCGACAAGAGCAAAACAAATGAATTTACAAATTTTATCGGTTCATTGTTTTTTACATAGACAAAATCTTGCTTAAAAAAATTTATTGCCCGAATTAAGTATCGTTTTGGATGAAATTGTGTTATGGTAGTCAATTTTATAAAATCAAGAGCTCTTAACTGTAGAATTTTCCGCGAACTGTGTTCAGAATTTGGTGCAGAATACGAACATTTATTATTTTAGTTCCGGGGCAAAGTTGTTCAAAAAGTATTATCATTGCGGACAGAAGTCGAATTTTTTTTTTTTTTTTTTTTTTTTTTTTGAGAGAAAAGAAACACCCATTAGCATCTAAATTCTCCGAGTTGAAGTGGATTACTCAAGTTGCTTATTTGGCAGATATTTTGTTTGAAATAAATAATCTAAATACATCTATGCAAGGACGTAATCATACTATTATTGAATTAACTGAAAAAATTACATTGTTTTAAAAATAAACTCAAATTATGGAGAAATAAGGTTGAAGTAAAGAACTTGCTTCATTTCCGACTCTTAATTTACTTGTTGAAGACAAGAATATTAATATCACAGATTTTGAAATACAGAAAATTATTATCAATCATTTAGAAAAACTAATAGCAGACTTTGATCGGTATTTTCCTGCAGACGATGTTTTTAAATATAATTGGGTTCGAATGCCATTTGATTTTGATGTAAGTGATTTGCATGAGGAATTTGTTAATATTAATCAATTTCAAGAACAATTAATAGAAATTCAAAGTGACCAAGCACTTCGATACAATTTTTACAAAAACACTCAATCTTTATGTGCTTTCTGGTTAAATCTAAAAACCGAAAAGCCAATAATTGTTAAAGAAGCCCTAAAAGTATTATTGCCCTTTTCAACAACATATATGTGTGAGGCTGGTTTTTCGGCTCTCTGTGTAATCAAAAACAAGCACCGGAACAAGTTAAATCCAGAATTTAACTCGTGTGAATAAAGAAGATTTAAGGTGCTCCTTGACAAGCATTCAACCCAGGTTTGCAGATCTTTCAAAATGTATTCAAGCACAAGGTTCTCATTAAAAGCGTATAAAATGTTATTATAAGATTAAATTTCAATTATTTTTAAAAAGTTTTAAATTTATTTGGTTTGGTCAATAAAAATATTAAAAACACTTGATTATTTATTAATTTTTCTTGGATCAAAAGTGCTTTTGTTTTAACTTTATTATTATAAAAAAATAAAAAATTTGTAAGTAAATAAGTCATCATTGTAAGATTAAAGGTTTTTACAAATATGCTCTAAAATAAAGCAATGAAAAAAATATTGACTTTTTTTGAGTCGCGACATAAACATTTTTCTCAAATTTGGGTCGCGGCTCAAAAAGGTTAAGAACCACTGCTTTAAGCTCACAAAACAGTCATATTTGCAGCATTTTGTTTATTTCATTTTAATTTTTTATATAAATTTTACTTATTTGTTTATTTTTATTTTCATTTTGAAATGCAATGTCTAAAAAAGATTCACACTTTCCAAGTAAAAATTTGAGTCATGAAATTAACATTCAGTTCATTGTCTCAGTAATAAATAATAGTAATGATAGAAAGATAGTGCAACACAATGTATAATAGTAATGATGGAAAGATAATGCAACACAATCTATAATATAATGATAGAAAGATAATGCAACACAATCTATAATAGTAATGATAGAAAGGTAATGCAATACAATCTTTCCATGACAAGCATATCAGGGACCTATATTAATTTCATTAAAATGCATTATTGTGTTTTAGCTGTGTCTGATGAGTGGAGAAATAATCCAAATGAGTTCATCCATGAATCTCATTTTCGAACCTGCTGATCTAGAACAAGCTTCCCCTGCTACAGTGTCTCGTTGTGGTATGATATATATGGAACCGCATCAGGTACAAATAAAAACTATATTTTCATACTTTTACTATGATTTGCTAATACTTTACATTCTGTTCAAATGCAGAAGAAAAGTATTAATTTAATTACATTTTGCAGTCACTTAGTTTAATATTTAGCAAAATAAGTCACATGAAAATTATTAAAAGAATCTCCTAAAGTTCATCTCATGTCTGAAAAGAATGCAGCTTAAAAGACCACATTGAATATTATTGCACTGAAATATTAAATTCATCTCTGTAAGTATACTATTAAATTTTCACAGAATCTGTTTCAAATCAGTGCATATTGATACCAGGAATACTATTTCAATTAGAAATTTTGTAGCTTAGTTGTGAAAATACAGTTATATCATAGAAATCTACTCAAAAGTGATCCAATTCATAAAATTCAGTGGGTTATATTTTGATATTCTTGGATTAATTTCAAGCAGAAATTGATCCAAGAGGTTTTGAAAATGAAACATATCAAGGATTGAAAGAAATTTCAAGAAACTCTATGCATTTGCTTAAATTCATTCGGAAAGAGGTATTTTAAATAGGTGGTCCTAATAAGGTCTAAATGAGGAATTTTTTAGATACAGCATAATTTTTCTAAGATCTTTTTTACATGAGAATTGTGTATTGGATATTTCTACTTTCTTTTCTTTTGAATTTAAGGCATTTCATTTGTAGTGGTTAGAAAATCAGGTACTGATTCTTGTCAAATAATTGTCATTTTGAATATGTATGTTGTAAATATCTCTTTTTTTTCCTCTGAATTATCAATTTTTTAACAAATTTTCTTAGTTCATCATATTGGTTTATTATTTATTTATTTATTTTCTTCAATACTCTTACTGATTACTGATGGCTGTAATATTTCTAAAATCTTTTCTTAATTAAATGGATTAAAGCTGTGTAAAAGATACCTATTTTTACCTGGGAAGTAAGGAATCTACATTGGTAGTAAGCAGGTAGTTAGCCTACTTTTTTGCATCCTCTCATTTGTGCTGTATGCACTTTTTTATTTAATCATTTGCATGTATTTGAATGTTATTATCTGATTATATATTTTGTCTTTTATCACTCAGTTATCAGTTAGCTATCTTTCAAAATAGCATCTTAAATTTTTTAATTGTTATTTGAGCGGTTCTTAATAATTTATGAACAAGCAAATTTTTCCATTTTCTAATACATTATATATTTGTTCTGCATAAAAAAAATTTCTCTTTAAAATACTAAAAAATTTTGATTTCTACAAAATATATATATTTTTAATTTGGTATATTTTAACTATGTATAAGTATTTAATATTATTTGCTATCAGTTAGTTTTTAGAATTTTCATTTTATTAAAAATACATACTTAATACATTTTATACGTGTATCTGTTACTTTAAGTATTTGATGAGTTTGAAATTGTATCTTATATTTCATTTTATGAAGATTAAAATATCATTGAAGGGGAATTAAATTTTGTAGTTTTGTTTTACTAATATGTATTTGTATTTATTTACTTATTAGTACATCTTCCTTTTCATGTATGTATTCAATACTTTTCAAAGGTATATCAAAACAAAAAGCTTATCTTTTAAAATATAGTGTGACAGCAATATATAAATTCAAGTTTTTTAATGCAATGATCTAATTATGTAATTTATGTCTAATTTATTTTTAAAGCTTGGATGGAGACCTTTGAAAGATTCTTATTTGAATTCTCTAATGGAATTGAAGCTCTCAGAAGAATGTATTTCTTTGATTGATGATTTGTTTGAGTGGTTGGTAGAACCTTGCTTAATTTTTATAAAACAGCATTGTGTGACCTTCCTTAAAACTTCAGACATCCATTTGGTTTATTCTTTAAAGAGACTTTTTGATTGCTTGTTAAAGGATATGTTAGCTGCTCAACCTCGAGATTTGGATGAAGCAGTTCGAATTGTTGATGTAAGAATAAATTTTATTTTCTGCAATTTTATAATAACTATTCTAATAAGCAATTTAATATATTATAAAAAATCTTTTAATGATTACTTTTTATCTGTGTTCCCTTTCTCAGTTTTTATAGATAAAAATTAAATTTCCTTTAATTTCCTAATTTTATATGGACCTTTAAATTTTAAATTATAATGGTGAAGAAGTTTAATTATCGAATTGCAAAGGACATTCCCACAATTTTTTCATTTGATTAAAATAACGAAATGATATTATTTTTTGCTTATATATGATGCACAGTATTTTGCTCTTGAATTGTGATTGTATTAACAGTGAGTCAACTAGTATTATTTCTTTTATTAAAATTTGCTCCAAATTTGCTTTGCGTCCAAAATAAATTATACTGTATTCCATTTTCCTAGAAATCCAATTCAAGTTACATTTCTTCTGGCATAAAAATTTTGAAATGTATTCAAAAATTGAAGTGATCTTGCCACAAAATATCAAATCTATTGAAGAAACTAATTATTTGTCTTAAATCTACTTTTTTGTTCCTTTATTATGCCAAAGTTAGCTGACAGTCTGTTGTTTATAGTTACTTGGATACTCATTGCTGGGGTGGGCTGCTTACTTAATTATGAAAAACATCTCTTCAAAAAATGATGTTGATAATCTTATTGATGACTGTCACAACTGATTTTTGCTCAAAACTGTTAAATGTAGAAAAAATATTTCTTAGGAATGCTACATTAATTCTTTTCTTGGTGTCAAAAACTTTATCTATAAAAAAGTTTAGTTTTAGAATGCCCAATAATTCATAAGCATTATTTTAACCATAAATTCTGCTATAAAATATTGCAATTTTATAGTAAATGATAATGCTAATTATATGGAACAAATGCATGCATTAGAGCAATATTCCTGATAAATATCAACTATGCATATTGACTCTGTGTAGTTTAACTCACATGCTTGGATATATTTTCATTATTCTTAAATTTTGAAACAGCACTTTATATGCTTCTTCATGTTTTATTCATGCATTTATTTATCATAGTTCTATTATGCAATAAGAATTATATCATTTTTTATATTTAAATTCAATAATGTAGGGTGATTCAAAAACATCAGGCAGAAATGTAGAGGGACCTAAATAAGCAGATTTTCGTATGGAATGGGTGTGCAGAAACGATGTATTGAGGTAATATAAGGCACTGTTGATTAGTAAGTAAAAGCAGTATGCACCATTACAGAAATGCAAAGCTCGGCAATATGCATTTTGTGTACAAGGCTGCAGATTAAATAGAGCAGCTGCTCGAAGGAGGTACAAAGAACAATTCCTGAGTATCGCCTTTAAGCAGCTGTTCTGTTTGAGAGCAGTTGCATAGATGAAATACCAATCAGTGAGCTATGCATTTATGTAGTGATGCATGCTGTTTGAAATTTATATCAGGAGTGATGATTTAAGCCAGCAGAACACTTTTACCTACTCCTCAACTACAACCTGTACAACCTCAACATACTATTTCTGCACACATATATCATTACTTTGTTTTTTAGTTTGAATGCATCTTTAATAAAATTATTCATTAGTGTTTTCTTAAAGGAATCCAATTGCATGAATGAATTATTGTTTTTTTTTAAAAAGATATAGTTATTTATATAGTGAATGTTTAAATTCTGTATTCTTCTTGTTTTTCTTGATTTTCTTTTTTTTTTTTTTTTTAGTCCAAAGGGATTTGAATCCCGAAGGACTATTAGTTTCGTTTTGGCATTTTGCTTCGGACTCATAAATGTCGGTTCACTTTTCAAACTGTTGCCACAAAATGTTAGAGTCCTGCATTATATTTGAAGAAATTAAATAATGAAAAATCTGCATAAATGTATGTATATTTCTCGTATTGTGATAAAACAACGGTACATAGAATCATCAAATTTTGAATAACGTAATCCTCCAACGAATATGTGCATGTGGAAGACCAAATTTGAAATATGAAATTTGTTTTATGATCAATTTCCTATTTTTTAAAACTTTGACGAATTTTGATTAACAACTCAAGGATTTCAAAAGCAAGCAATGGCAACATTGTGCAGAAAAAACATTTTTATCTCCACGCGTGAGTCTCTGTATCGGAATTCTAAAGATATGCTCATTTTAAAACTATTTTTGCGATATTGCTGTTGCACTGGATCTTATGGTTTAAGTGCACATGATTTAATAAAGTAACACACAAATGTTAAAAAACGCCCCTTTGGACGTAATTTAAAATCTGAAACATTTCAGTTTTTTTTTTTTTTTAGGGGGGGGGGGGGGGGGTGGTAGATTATAACTAAAAAGTATAAATTAACATTGTTTTATTATCTAAAAATAAAAGTGATATAAGCCTATGGTGCATATTTTTTTATGTGTCCTAATTTTATATTAGTTTATTCCACAGAATATTCCAGTTAACATTTTTCAAGCTTCCATGTTACTTAATATAAAAAGCAACCCATTGCACAAAATATAATTATTGGATATTTTATTTCCCAGAAGGGATATTAAACTGTTATTATTTAAGGTCATTTATGTTTAAGAATGTGCTTCAAATTATATGCTTCAAATATCCATTTCTCTTCTCAAGCTAGAAATTTTGTTCCTTGAGTTTATACATAAATGATCTCTTCATAAAATAAATTGTTAAAAAATAGAATTGTTTTACACAAAAGTAGGCATTAGAAACTATTAAAACTATGCATTTTTCATATTTTTTAAATTTTAGTTTCATATATGTATTGGTATTATACAGTAAAAGAATAATCTTTATGAATTATAATCATTAATATACTTCTAAATATAGTGTTTAATTATATTAATTAATATTATTTTTTAATTTCATAGACTTTACGTGGTATTCAAGCATTCTTCATTTTTTCACTTGTTTGGAGTATTGGAAGTACTATGAACAGTAGCAGTCGAATACAATTTGATGGATTCTATCGAAATTTACTGATTGGTAATTTCGAGGAATACCCTAAGCCTAAATCATTCAAATTAACTAAACAACAAATTTTCCCTGAAAATGGATTGGTTTATGATTACCTCTTCAATGAAAAGACTAATTCATGGATTGGATGGTTAAATACTTTAGACAAGGAAGAACTTGAATTACCACCAGATGCCAGGGTACAGTATTTTTTTACAAGAATATTGAACTGCTGAACAGTAGAAGTATAGTTATCCTTTCTATATTATTTTATTGGCATTGGAGAACATTGCTGTAGCCTGAGTATTCAGGATTTCAGTGTCAATAAGTTTTCCTTTAATACATTATGTAATGTAACTTTTTAAATAATGCAGTAAAAATAAACTATTTTTAATAAGAATTTTTAAGTTAATCTTCAGCGAAACTCAGTGGCCTATTACAGTAACAAGGATAGAAATACCAAAAACCTTCAGAAGATCAAAATTCGTTTTAAAACTGTCAAAACTCTCGAAATTTCGGAAATGCAAGCCTTGAGGACTAAAAATTTTTCTAAATATGGAAGTAATGTTATGAGCAATGAAAGAAGACTTTTTAAGGATCTTACCCATAAGGGTAACACTTAAGCACTTTTTCAAATCCACAGATACAGTAGGTCAGCAAATAAGCAATGAAAAAAAATTAAGCTCGAAAAATTTCCTATCCCCTGAGAATGCACTCTATCCTAGCATAATTTGATCATATTTTGTTCAAGCATACCATTTCATAGCATGTGACAATATTCATAGTTGATAGCATTTCTTTTTATGAGAATAATTTGTCTAAAATATTAAATGATGGAGTAACTTGAGGCAGAATAATAAGAAAGGAAGTGCATTAAAGTGCAAGTAAAAATTGTCACATGACAGAAGCTTATATAGTCAGTCAAATTTTTATTTACTCATAATCTGATGAATTGAAATAACTTTACTCTGTGACTTTGCTGCTAATTTTATTGTTAAACATTGATTAATTGTTAGTATATGTTTTTGGCTTGTAGCTTGTTTGTTTCAGTAGACATTATGAAACTAAGACACAATAATTAAGACACAATAACACGCCGAATAAATACTAATTCAGAAGTCAAACAAAAACCAGCGTATTATTTGCAAAATTTTCACAGGACTAGTTTCGATGGTTTTACCGAACCACCATCTTCAGCTGCAAAACCGCAAATGAACAAGATTAGGAAATAATGATTAGATAAGATAAGAAAGCCTGGACAAGAATAAGCAAGTGGTGCCATCTGTTGGTGAAACCAGAACTAAAACATAATTTCTTTAAAGGCCGAAGGCAAATTTGGATTGGAATTAGGATCGTTAACTAGAACAGAAAGATTTTTATGAATGTGAAATGCCTCTAGAAAATCCAGTTCTCCAATGGAAGATGTTTTTTGAATAATTTTGGCAGCAGAAAAACGGAAAGTGTGGTTTTTCGGACCAACAATGTTGAGCAACAGAAGACTTCTGTTTCCCCTTTTTTCTAACATATGCCTCATGTTCCTTGACGCGAAATTTTAAGGCTCTCTTAGTTGGCCAATGTAAATTAAACCACACTGGCAAGGAATCCGATAAATAACCCCAGGAATTCATATCTGAATGGGGTCCTTGAGTATGGAAACTTGGAATTTTACTGATGGGAGAATAAAAACCCGAAAGTTAAATTTCTGCAAAATATGTGCAACTTTATAGCTAATTGATGGAAAGAAGGGAATGACAACAGAATTTTTTATAATCTCCTAAAACAAGAGTGTGCCTTTAGTGTGTTGAATGAGAATTTTTTAACTGCTTGATTAATAATGTTGGGTGGAAAGCCCCTGTCAATAGCTATTGCTTTTAAATAATTTTAGTCTTCATCAAGGGCTAGTTTGGAGGAGCAAACTTGAAGAGCACGAAAAACATAGGAATAAAATGAAGCTAACTTTTGTTTAGTCGGATGACATGATTTAAAGTGTGGTGGAAGGCAAGCTTGCAATTTAACAGAATTCTTGAAACGCGACTCGAAAGTTTTTGATTAGATTTGATTTTTTTTTTTTTTTTTTTTTTTTTTTTTTATTATAGCTTGCCTTACTTCGGTCCGTCATAAGGGATACACGTCAACAATTGTCCAAAATTGACGTGAACTCTATAAGCTTCATCTGAACTCGCTAAAATCCAAAATTCACTGCCCTTGAACAAAAGTCTTGGTCTAGAACGGAGAATGCAGTTAACCGTCATAAAAACACCCTTGCAGTTAATTCGAAAAACTGTTTTTACAATCTTCCAGTTCAAGTAGTTCAAAAAATCTTCCCATTGTAAACATCAAGCCGATAGTTAATATTTCTAATGTTAGTCTTTCAGAAGAACAAGAGAGAATCTAAAATATAATTTTAACTTCTCACAAACCTGTAAACCCTCGATTCCAAAGATTTTGGCTCCTATCGAAAAAGCTTTCAAGTTCAGTAAAGTTTCAGATTCACAGAAAGAAATGATTAGGCATCTTATCGCTCATATGTGAAATTCAATAATAACCTTTGAAACCAAATCTAACTGAGAAAGATCTACAAAGGCGCGAATTCCATCTCTACCCGGATATAATTTACTTTAAGAGCGCTACCATGCGCCATGCATTAACCGTGGAAGGCTACAAAGGTTGGCTGGTGGTGGATAACTCTTGTCACTAAACTCTTAACGAGGACCATATAATCCGATCCCTAAAGATCCTTCCCTCCGACTTGTCAAAATAAAAACTGCGATCAAATTCGCAAATCATTTCAGCAACTTAAAACATCGCTTATCCCATCTTGCGAATTTCCAGATTATATGCTCTTATTCATAACAGTGGTATTCCTTTGCGCCCCAAACTCCATGGTATCCGTTCCCGCCCTTGCACCCTTTCCAGCCTAAAATATCTGGTTTCTAGAATTTAACACTCTCTTAGACAATAACATTACACCATAAAAATTCAATAGAGTTTGTAAAAAAGGGTTTTAAAAACATTTCTCCTAGTAATTTACTCATGGTTTCTTTTGATGTAAAATCATTATTCACCAATGTTCCGGTGGAGGGTGCATTAAGATGTCTAGAAACCAGACTTTCGCGAATTTCATTTCTCTTGCATCGAAATTGATGAGCTAATTTCTCTCACTCAACTCTGTTTGAAACAAACACATTTTGTTTTCCAAAATAATATTACAAGCAAACTGAGGGATTAGCCATGGGAAGCCCCCTCAGTCCCATCCTGGCTGATATCTACATGCATTATTATGAATCAAAATTGTTTGAAACTTTAAACTTCCCGGCATGGTCCGCTACGTAGACGATACTTTTTACCCTGTTTGAAGGTAATAAAGATGATTTAAATAAAGTTCTTTCAACAATGAATTCTATTGATCCTGCTATTCAGTTCACTTTTGAACTTGAGACTTGCAATTCTCTTCGTTTTCTCGACATTCTGGTCACACGTAACACATCCAACTTCAGTACTACAGTTTACCGTAAACCTTCATCGGTTTGCCTTCCACCACACTTTAAATCATGTCATCCGACTAAACAAAAGTTAGCTTCATTTATTCCTATGTTTTCCGTGCTCTTCAAGTTGCTCCTCCAAACTAGCCCTTGATGAAGAACTAAATTATTTAAAAGCAATAGCTATTGACAGGGGCTTTTCACCCAACATTTAATCAAGCAGTTAAAAAATTCTCATCTCAACACACTAAAAGGCACACTCTTGTTTTAGGAGATTATAAAAATTCCTGTTGTCATTCCCCTTCTTTCCATCAATTAGCTATAAAGTTGCACATATTTTGCAGAAATTTAACTTTCGGGTTGTTTATTCTCCCCATCAATAAAATTCCGAGTTCCTATATTCAAGGACCCCATTCCGGATATGAATTCCTGGGGTATTTATAGGATTCCTTGCCAGTGTGGTTTAATTTACATTGGCCAAACTAAGAGAGCCTTAAAATTTCGCGTCAAGGAACATGAGGCATATGTTAGAAAAAAGGAAACACAGAAGTCTTCTGTTGCTCAACATTGTTGGTCCGAAAATCACACTTTCAATTTTTCTGCTGCCAAAATTATTCAAAAAACATCTTCCATTGGAGAACTGGATTTTCTAGAGGCATTTCACATTCATAAAAATCTTTCTGTTCTAGTTAACGATCCTAATTCCAATCCAAATTTGCCTTTCGGCCTTTAAAGAAATTATGTTTTAGTTCTGGTTTCACCAACAGATGGTGCCACTTGCTTATTCTTGTCCAGGCTTTCTTATCTTATCTAATCATTATTTCCTTTCTTGTTCATTTGCGGTTTTGCAGCTGAAGATGGTGGTTCGGTAAAACCATCGAAACTAGTCCTGTGAAAATTTTGTAAATATATCGCTGATTTTTGTTGTTTGACTTCTGAATTAGTATTATGAAACTGTTTCATGGGAGAATTTCTATTATTATCTTTTTTACTAATTACATGTGAAGCTTTACTAAAAACTGAAAATCAAGTTTTTATTAAAATCAAAATTTCCATTCAAAAAATCTTGTAGACAATCCATCAGCAAAGCAGTATCATATATGTATTTCAGATTATTAGATTCAAGCGATAAGCATCATAACAGAATACTAATTTCTAGCTCCAAAGTTCAATATTTAATAATTCATATACCATAACAATTCTTTCAAGAATTTGACTCTAATTAAAAGATTAATTTAAGGCTCATTGATTGTTCTTTTTATTTCAGTTATAATATATATACATTTATTTGTTTTTCATTGGTCAGATTTGATCTGAATTTTACTTTGTGTTATTGTTTTCAATGACTGCATATTCTTAAATTATCTATTAAAAAGTGCATTTGAGGAAAAAAGATGTATATTGATGATAGGCTATAATTTTTACTGTATTTTCTATTTGCAGTTGAATGAATTGATTATTCCTACAAATGAAACAGTACGTCAAAAATTCATGTTGAAAATGTACACTTCTCATGATATACCTATACTTTTTGTTGGACCTACTGGAACCGGAAAATCAGCATTAACTAACAATTTCTTAATGCACCTTCCAAAAGAAAAGTAAGTTAAGAGATAATTAAAAAAATTCTATCAATATTTACATATTATCCATTAAATGCATGGTTTGTTTAATTTTCTTTGCATTATATCTGTTAGTTAAAAATAATAATAATCTAGTACTTTTCCCTGTAAATTTCAGTAATATCAATATCTGAAGAAAATTTATTGAATAAATGAGATACAAAGATATTTTTATTAATATATTGTTCAGGAGATGAATTTATAAATTTATACAAATATTGCTTTCTTTAATCAACTGTCTTGTCTCTGTAAAATAGGTCTAAGAAATAAACAAAAACGTAAGATATAACTAACCATTAATCTAATAATTAATTATTGGATTATTAATTCAAAATTAATGCCTAAAATTAAACTTTGAAATTTAGAATTATTTATTTATTTATTTATTTATTTATTTTTATAATCGATTTTCATAAATCGATTTCATTTCTTTCTGATCATGCTGTAAAATATTACTCAGAATTTATTATTCTTTCAAATACGATGTCGCTTGCCAATCATAAGAAATAGAATTTTGCAATAACTCATTTAATTGCATTATATCACTTAATAGAATGTATTCTTGTTTTTTGGTAAAATTTCCATTAAAGAAAATTCAGAATACTTGAAGAAAAATTGTTTAAGGGCAACTTATGTAGAAGGAGAGCCTTGGATTGATTAGAGCAAAGCACACAAGAACTATCTGCCTAAAAGGAGGGATACTTTCATAAATGACTTTCTAAGGGACACTGCCTCTTTTCACATACGATCTTAATCACTTGACCTCTGGTAAGACCAGAGGACCTTAAGGATTATAGAGTGAACTAATAAATTCATAAAATGCATTATCTTTTGCTTCAATTCTGACTATAGAAACTTAATAAAATCAAGCTAAATCAAGATTATTATTTTAATGTATTTATCCATTTCTTCAAATAATAAAATCATCAAAATTAAAGGACATTTAGCACCAGCATCCTTAAATATTAAATCATTCATATGGCATATTATGTATTTGTTATGTAATGCCATTGCCTGAGGAATTAAAACTTTTTCACTCTAAATAGTTTCAGACTGGGTCTAAATCACAGCCTTATAAAATAATTGCATACTAAATTATTTCAGGGTCTTCTTGAATTTAGTATTATTTGCATTATATGTTCTGTATTTTAGCATGCATACTTATATCAAACCGCCATATCTGTATCATAATATAATCCAATTTTTGATATTTTTATTATATTGGATAAAAATAAATTTAAGCACTTCAAGTAAACAATTAAAAGGGCCCAAATTTTACTTTGTGGGCCTATTAGATGCCAGATACGGGAAATCACTGAGCATTATTCTAAGCTTTTCATGATAGCTTTTATTTTTTATCCAATGCATAATATTAATACAAGATGGATGCCTTTAAATCTGTCATTGTAAGTGAAATAAATTGATGGCATAAGAAAATATTATGAATTATATTTTGTCTTAAAAACTATATTGCAATATGATCATACTTCTGATCACTTATTTCAGTAATAATGTCATATCCTTTTAGAATTAACTTAAATGTAACATAAATGCCTAAGTTGGCTTATTGCCAATAAAATCTCATTCCAATGAACATTAAGCAATGTGGTTGAACACTCTTAACTCCACTTATACACAAAAGCATTATTCAACAAATATTTTAGAGATTTCGACAAATTAAAAACTTGAAGACAAGTCACATAGCCTAGAAATATCAAAAAATAGGGAAAACTTTAGTATTTTTATGTGTAAAATATGTGTATATACTAATCTATTTTATCATTTTCTGTCATAAAATATATGCAAATTCAAAACAGTTTTAATTTTTTGTCCACTGTTAACAATACATGTAACATCTGCCTTATATTTAATTATGCAAAATAAACTAACAAATATTTTATTGTAAGAATATAGCATATAATGCATGTAAAAAGTATGTATTAACATACTGTAAAATACTGTAAAAAGTATGACCGATAAAGTTTCTGGTTAGTAACATTACTAACCAGAAACTATAATTAGTTATTATTAGACTATAATTAGTTAAAACTGAAAAGTCAAAATTTATAAGTAGATTTTTAACATGATATCAAATATCTTTTATCTTACAATGCTCAAAAACTTGACTATATTTAAATGCATTCTATTTTATTTACAATATGTACTGTAAATATGATTTTTTATATTTATAATATATGTTTATATCTAAATTTTATTTTAAATTTTAATTTTGCAGATGCATAGCATAATAGACTTTATAAATATAGCTAGTTCAAAGTAAATGATTTTAGTAGATTTATGGTGCACAGTTTTCTCTTATTTTGTTATTTAAATGCTAGTTTTTCCCCTCTTATAGATATCTCCCCAACTGCATTAATTTTTCTGCTCAGACAACTGCTAGTCAGACTCAAGACATTATTATGAGCAAACTTGACAGGTAATAGCTACTTTATTTTTTTTAACAATTTATATTTTTCTTCCCTTTTTACTTCCTTGTGGGAAGGGAAGAAAGTATTGCAATCACAATAAATTTCACGTATCATTTTCAATGAAAATATCCATTTTGACCACTCTCAAAATCATTTGAATTTTTTTTTTTTTTTTTTAAAGTCCAAAGGGGCAATTTACCCAGAACGACTGTTAATTTCAATTTGGCACTTTGCGTTGGTTCACTATAAATGTCGGTTCACTTTTCAAATTGTTTGCTACTAAATTTAGCCTTGTATTTACTTAAAAGAAAAATAATGAAGAATCTGCAAATGTATGTATGTTCTTGCTGTGATAAAGCAATGGTACCTATAGCCATGAATATTGAATAACGTACGTTTTCCACTCAATTATGGGCATCTGGAATTTGTTTTATTATGAATTCATATTTGTAAAATGTTAACGAATTTTTGCTTAACAACTCAACATTTCAATGTTAGCACTGTACGAAAAAAGCATTTTATCTCGAGCGCGCAGACTGTCTCTCAGAAGAAGATATTTTACTTTTTTGCGATATTGCGTTGAACTGAATTTTATGTTTAAGTCAAAAAACATATATAAATGTAACATACAAAATGTTAAAAAAACGCCCCATTGGGCATAATGTAAAATCTAAAAAGCCCTTTTGGGGGGGGCATGATATCTGTGCATACAGACAAAATCAAGGACTCTTTTTTTTTTTTTTTTCAAAATGGATTTGTATATAATGTCTAGTTGACTAGTTAGTATATAATGTCTTAGACTGCTATAATGTCTAGTTGTGCACCACCCTTTTTTGTTCCAATTGGCTGCACCGAACATGTATATAGGTATATAATACACAACATCACGCATTTGTGATATTCACATATGTGTGATGTTGTGAATATGATACAAGATGTGTGATATGTTATCATATCACACATATTCACAACATGTGTGATATGATAACATATCACACATGTTGTGAATATTCATATAAATTCAAATATAAATTTCAAATTTAATTAAGAAATTTTAATTGCAAAAAAAATTAATTATTGCTGCAAACTAATTTACAATATCATTAATTCTAAGAGCTGTAATTGAGTGCACGTATCTAAAACCTGAAAAAAATATATTCTGAAAAATTAATCTCAGAATTTTTTAAGGAATTTTTAAGACCAAATTAAATTGCTAAGGAATAATTGGCGAGGAGGGGACTGACTTTCAAGGGAAGTTGCCTCCAAACCTAACTCTCCCAATTACTATTATTTCAGAAGTCAAACAACAAAATCAGCGTAATTCACAAAATTCACAGGACTGTTTCGATGGTTTTTACCGAACCATTTCTCAGCTGCAAAACCGCAAATAAAAAGGAAATGATGTTTAGATAAATAAAAAGCCTGGACCAGAATAGCAGTGGCGCCATCGTTGGCGAACCAGAACTAAACTAATTTCTCTAAAGCGAAGGCAAATTTGATTGGATTAGGATCGTTAACTAGAACCGATTTTATGAATGTGAATGCCTCTAAAATCCAGTTCTCAATGGAAGTTTTTTTTGAATATTTGGCAGCAAAATTGAAAGGTGGATTTTCGGACCAACAATGTTGAGCAACCGAAACTTCTGTGTTTCCTTTTTCTACATATCCTCATGTTCTTTGACGGAATTTTTAAGGCTCTCTTAGTTGGCCTGAAATTAAAACCGACTGGCAGGGAATAAATACCCCCCTATGAAAGTCCTGTGAAATTTGGATTAACGCGTTTTTGTTGTGTGACTTCGAATCAGTATTTATTCGGCGTGTTTTGTCCTAATTACTATTACCGTTTGTGTTTCGTCATCCATATAGGCAAGATAAACCAAATGTTGTGAATTACCAAAAGAAATTTAAACTAGTAGAAATTTGAAATTAGCAAGTAAAAACTAAATAAAATATTATTAACGTAAATTAAGAAAAAACCAATTTTAGAAAACCAAAGTAATAGAAACTTTGATTGAAACTCCCCTACATGAATTATGCATGTACTAAAAAAACATATACAATTTAATAAAATAATAAAAGGCTAGTAATAGCAAGTTTTTTAACTTACCGAGAACTACTTTGACTGATGTGGACTAGCAGTTGCTAACTAGGTGAAGTGAGTAGTGTTACTGCTATTGTATAAATAAAGGGCGCTAATACAATGCGAAGTAATGTTAAGCTGCTACCTGTGAGAGCTATTTTAAAACCATGGTGTAAACTTTAATAATGTAAAATGCTTGTTTTGTGTGCATAAATATTGCTAATTCGAGGCATGTTAATGTGTCAAAAAGAAAAATTGTGAAACTGCTACTGTTTGTGAAAACAATGTTGCAACTATAAAATGTAAAAATTTAAAAAAATGTTTTGATTTTTTTTTTTTTTTTTTTTTTTTTTTGTAAAATAAAGTTTGAATAAACATTTAATGATTTAAAAATTTTTAAAAGTAACTTTTAATTTTTTAATCACAAATTGAAATAATGGCCATATTGTCGGAATTTTTTTGTCTACTACATTGTTTAAACTGAAGTTCTACGTTTAGGCCAAAGGTTGAAAAAATTAGAAAAATCTTCACTCAATTCAGGCTAAAATTGGGACTTTTGAAAGAGTTTCCCTTCATTAGAAAAGGAAAGAATCCAGTATGATAAAATATCCTTTACAAATAATTAATTTAATTAAAAATCCTTTAATCTTCAAAACTTCCATTATCCTCTAGTTAGGTTTAGGTATATTATCATACCATAGTTTAAAAATTAACAAAACTTATGCTTGCCTTTTTAATATGAATAATAAATGTGTGGGGACAGGTTACTTTAATTATTTTTATCTATTTCTTCCTTTATCTCTTCTATTTCATACATATATTTTTAATTCTAATTATCTGGCTATAAAAGTGTTACCTATTACTTTTTAAGAGATGTTAGAATCAATTAACTAGTTAATAGGTTCAAACGGAATGCTTCCTTTTATCATATAATTTAATTTTGTTGTCTTAAATTAGGCAGGTGTAGGTATTCAATAGTATCAATACTGGTTAGTCATTAGTGTTTATATTGGTAATTTGAATGTTCAAGCAGAACTACTTGAAAGTTATAATATCATCATGATTAATGTATTGTTACTAAATTCATTTTAGTACTAAGTTGGAATTATTCATTAGCAAAAAATAGTTACTATTGTGTAGAACAGTTCCTCCCATGGAATTCCTATATTCTGTGAAAGATTTGTTCTTGATTATGTCGTATTAAATAGCGCAAGCGGTAGGTTTCCATCTTTAAATTCAGAGGATGCTACAGGTCAGAAAAGTTGTGGAGTTGATTAATTAGTATAAATTTCGTCCAATGTAACGAAGTAAAAGGTTTTCAAGTCATAGCAGTTTATGGATTCTCAACTTTAACACTATCTTTTAACATCACTATTTAAACAATTAATTAATTCTTAACCAAACGATAAAAGTAAAAAAGCAAATAAATTCTAAAAAAGACAAAAGCCGAAAAAAATTACTTGGTTTTTTCTTTTTGAATTTACATTGGCTTTTTCTTTTTACGTTTTGTTAAAATAACTTAATTGTTTAAATTTAAATTTCATTCCTTGCAGCGTGGCACACAGATTTCATTAAACGGCATTTAATTTAATTTTTTATTAATTCATTTCCTCGAATTATATATACATAATAATTGAATTATTATAATATATGGTGTGTGTATATTATTATATATATATATATATATATCTATAATATGTGTGGTTATATATTATATATATATATACATCTATACATATCATAATATATAATATATATATAACATATTATATCACATGTGTGTGTGCGTTGTGTGGCAAATAACAACGAACAAATTAATAAATGAAAGACATTTTAATGAAGACAGATGATTATAACATAAATTTAACATTTGTGAGTTCATCATAGTTCCTTACAGAAGCAGCACCTCTGCTTCTGTATCCCTCTATCATCAGTCTTCTAAAGTGATTCTCTTAATTTATTGCTTTTCTCTTTCGAAACTTTATATATATAATTGGAAGGATGACGTCGTCTGCAAATGATCAGCATTACAGATATATATATATATATGTAGACACCCACCCATCCTCTTACCCTGCTTTGTAAGTTCTTTTTTTTTTATTTTTATATGTTGGTAACTTATTCATTTTTTTCCTTTAAAAGTACTGGAATTATGGGTACTTATGTATAATGCGACCACCTCAATGCTGTCTGGCAGTCTTTTACAGATGAAAATGTAAAATTTATTTATTAGATGCAAGTTGATGGTTTTCGCACCTTCTTTTCAGAAAGACTCCCGAACTATCAATATTTTTAATGTAACTCAATAAACATTATCAACATATGAAAAGAGAGCATACTATAGCAATTTAAAATACAAATTTAAATTATTAAATAAGAATTACCTGATATATTAAAAAGAAAATAAAACACTGACATTCTTCTTCTAGTCTTTCTGTAATTTTGTTACACTGTTCTTCTCTCAAAGTACACAGTTATCTGTTTTCACTTAAAAAAAACATTATAGAATTGCAAAGAAATTACAACCCTTGGCAACAGCGGCTATTTGGGAAACACATTTCCTCGCTGTTTCCTTTAGAAAATTTGCA